ATATATATATATATATATATATATATATATATATATATATGTGTGTGTGTGTGTGTGTGTATTTGGTTAATGATTCATATCCATCATTATTCTCTTGTTACATTTTTTTTTTCAAAAAAAAAAATCATAATTTGGAATGGGTTTGTTCGAGGGGAAGATGATTTGGGCGGTGGGTTTGTTCTTGATTACATTCCCAACAGCCACTCTTTGTGATAATTTTGCTTTTCCTCCTTCTCTCTCCCCCTTCTTAGGTAAAACGATCCTCCCTCCATTTTCCCCACGTGTATTTATTTGTGTGTATATACACACACACACACACACGTGTGGCGTATACATACATACATATATATGTATAGTTTATGCGTGTGTATGCATGGGTTTTGTGAACTGCAGATAAGGTGTGTGAGAAAGTGGAGTGCGGGAGAGGGAGATGCAGAGTGGACAGAAACGAAGCCTTTGGATTCAGATGCGAATGCGATGATGGTTGGAAGACTTCCTTTGATGGCTCCAACCACACTTTTCTCCCATGCATCGTCCCTGACTGTACGTACATCCACGCCCGGCCCCTATATATATACACATACATACGTATATACCATTAATTAACTTTGTTGGTATTTATAAAATTAATACCCGAGATAATCGACGCCAAAAAATATTCAATTTATAAGTTCGTTGTTTTGATCAACTGGTTCATTGATGTTCAAATGTATTTTTTTTAATATTTCTGCTTCTATATAGAATATGCGTATTATTCGAATTTTCATTGAGAATTTTGGATATTGTAAGGATAAAAGTAATTTTAACTGTGTTGCGTATTCATGTGGAAATTCCAAATACATAAAAATTATTTAACTTATTTTTTTATTTTCTATTTTATTTTAATTTTAGGTAATATAAATTCCGCATGCGCCCCAGCACCTCCACCGACTCCGGAGAAGGAAATTCCAAGAAACAGATCCTTCTTTGATCGTAACATTCTAAACTTTTCATCGCCATATAAAAATATTATAAATACTGAAAATTTAAAATTGCTAAAAACAGTTTTTATTTTATTTTTTTGTATAATAATAATAATAATAATAATATAAAACAATTTCGTAGCTTGTCATTGGGCATACTGTGGAGGAGGAACGTGCAGGAAGGATGATGACGACGACTTCAAACACACATGTGACTGCAACAATGGCTTCACCAATCTCCTCAACAAGACCTACTTCCCTTGCTTTGGTCAATGTATACTACTCTTACAAAATTTCTATTTATAGAATTCCAATATCCAATATTCTCTATAATTTTCATCACCCTTCTAAATAAGGATGGAATGGTGACGATTTTTCTACCTCACTAATTCGATGTTATTGGTGACACAAGTTTTTCGTCACTAGTGATTGATCGGTTTCGATTTTGGTTTGGTTCGAATATTCTTTCAGGTGACCTCGGATCCAATTGCTCGAGGATCATATCTTCGGCAAATGCGGAAGATTCTTCTCCCGGTAAAAAAAAAAAAAGATAACAAATCCAAATGCATCAAGATTTTCAGTATTTCGATAAGAAATTTTCATATAAATCTTTTTTTTTTCCTGTTGGACTGAAATATGTTATTTTTTTTATTCCTTTGGCAGCTAACTCTTATCTGCCGGGGAAGTTCCAAATCTTGACTATGATCTTCACATCCATGGCTATGGCACTTGCGAGCTAGTGGACATTTCCCTTCACTCCGGTCTGATTTCGAACATTTTATCACGGCCTTGTGATATCTACTCGTCCCCGTATGATTATTTCATCCGTAGATCGATTTTATCGATTGGTTACGATATTGTTTTCGTCCATGTGTTCATGTATAATAATAATAATAAGGGGTATGTATAGTTTTGATTCTGTACTGTTGTATAGGGAAGTACAAACCCCACGTTTGCTGTGTATGTATATTTGGTAGTCATAATAAATGAGCTTATGTCTCACGTATCATACTATCATACATTTGGTAGATTTAGTTTTCCTTCATTCCACTTTTACCCTTTCGAAAAGATCGGCTTTTCTTCATAGCCACTTGCATACGTATAGAATGTCCCGACAGGCATTTGTGGAATTGTAACCACGTGGTGATTTCGATTTGGGCCAACTCCTAATTGATACGGTTTATTAGGGTGTTTGAACACGGATCAAACATTCGATAATTTTAGAATATTCGTATCCTAATCCGAATCCAATCAGTGGATTCACTATATGTGATCGAATACCAAAACAAATGGCTATCATACCTTTAATTAAGCCTTAAGAAAAAAAAAACGTTATCGTGCAGGTGCTACGGAAGAAATCCAAACTGCATTTTTTGGGTAACTGGATATTTTGAGTCGAGATCCAGACTAATTTCGAGGTTAGAAGCAAACCAAGGGATTGAAATTATGTTATTTTTCCCAATTTGAAATTCGAATCCAGAACGGAACAGACGAATTCAGACTCCATTAGATGTTACGACCAATGATAATCCACAATTCAGGAACCGACACCAAATACAGTCAAGATTGTTAAGGTAGCTAAGGTGTTAATTTGGTCCCATAGAATTAAGAGCTTTGAATTGGACGAGCTAGGAGCCTAAGTTAATTTAAACACAAGATTGGACCAAAAAGTGTATGATACACGAATACAAACTAATCACTACAAAAAAATAGTCATTTCCAACGGACATATCCGTTGGAAATGGCCAAAAATCCGTTGGAAATTAACGTTTACAACGGATAAATGCGTTGAAATTTCATCGTTGGAAATCGGTGTTTGTTGGACAACCGTTGGAATTTTCAACGGAATTTCAACGAATTTATCCGTTGGAATTTTCCAACAGATTTCCAACCGCAATCCGTTGGAATTTTTCAACGGAATTTTCAACCGATATCCGTTAGAATTTTCCAACGGAATTTCCAATTGCAATATGTTGGAATTTTCCAACGAAAAATTCAAAACATATTTTCGATCCTAACCCCGACCCCGACCCCGGCCGCGAACCCGACCCCGACCCCGACCCCGACCGCGAACCCGACCCTGACCGCGAACCCGACCCCGACCCCGACCCCGATCCCGATCCCGAAGCTCACTTCCCAGTAGGTCACCCATCCTTCTATTGCTCCAGCTCAATCCTCCTTAACCCTGGAATTCCAATTGACCATCATCCAACTGCTCCAAGTTAAACTGGAAATACCGTTGGAAATTTTCAACCCAATTTTTCAATTGAATACGTTGAAAATTCCGTTAAAAATTTCCAACGCGTATTTCCAACGGAATTTTAACGGAAATCGCCATTGAAACGTCGTTGAAAACCGTTGAAAATCCGTTGGAAAATCCGTTGGAATTCGATGATTTTTTTGTAGTGAATATCACGCAATTAATTGATTCTAAAAGATTATGTATAACATTTAATTTGAACAAATAAGGGTGTTGATTCTTGTGGTTGATCCAAGATTATAGTAGAGACACCGAATGTTGGTTTTGTGGAGAAGAGGTATATATATATATAGTGTCGGATCTATTTGGTAGGGAATAGGGTCATAGATGCCATATCATTAAAAATATATATTAATTTTTTTTATAAATTTTATAAAATTATAGATAGAAAATATTAGATGCTCCACAAAAATAAAAATTTTCTCCGTAAATTTACGTTTATGAAGTGGTTGCCCCCTCACATAATTTTCTCTAAATCCGCTCATGTATATATGTATATATATACGGCATCAAAAGGGTATACATATGTGTATTAATTAGGCAGCCAGCATCATCTTGACAAATTCCTCGTAACTGATGTGGCCATCTCCATCCATGTCAGCCTCCCTCACCATCTGCTCCACTTCTTCGTCTGTGATTCTCTCCCCAAGACTCACCATCCCATGCTTTAACTGCCCAATAATCACGCCATAAAGACCAAAAAACCAAAGGCTGGACATGAATTCTTGCGCCACGAAATTAAATTGTAATGCTAAATTGGTAATTTTGTGCGGGTGATGGATGTGCCTGGATTTTACTATAACAAGTTTTTTAAAATAAATCAAATTTGTGTAGTTCAACCGATGAAATGGAAACGCAAAACGTCTATATATCCGATCCCGAGTTCGAACCTATAGTTTGGAAAGGGGTCATATAATTCAAATTAACTGATTGGTTTTCGACCTTGTGATTAGTGTGTGTCTTGATTAAGAATACTCAGTACCTAGAGATGTCAATTAAATCTGAAATCCGACCCGAGCCCATCCGAAAAAATTAAGGATATGGGCCTAATAATATAGACCCGATAAGTAAATGGGCGGGCCGGCCCGACCCGAAAAAATTGAAGTCCGAATCGAGTCTGGTCCGATACCTGTTCGGCCCGCCCATTTAGCTGATTTATATGTATGATGTTTTATGAATTTAATTTTAAATTTATATCAATATTTTTTTATACCGAATATATATTTATATATATTAAAAAATATTAGATAAATTTATATATTTTAAAGTTTATATGATTATTTTTTAATTTAAAAGTTTTTAATTGTAGTCGATGTATCTTTGTTTAATATATTCTTATCGGATGTAGTTTTAGATAATTGATCAATTGAATAATTTTTTCAATTTTATTTTTATTTCGTTGAATATTTATATTATTATTATTATTATTATTATTTATTATCATTATTATTATTATCACAAAAAAATATTTTTATTTAATAAAAAAACCCGAAGCCCGCCTCGAACCCGCCCGAAGCCCTGTAGGGCCGGGCTCCGGACCATCGATGATAGACTCGAAAAATAAATGGACGGATCGACCGGTTCGAAAAAATCTAGACCCGAATTGGTCCGGCCCGCCCACTTTACACCCCTACCAGTACCAAAAAAAATATTTTAAAATAATAAAAAGTAAAAGAAAATTATAAAGTGATTGGAAATAATAATAGTAATATAAACCTCGATAGTCGAGATGTAACCATCTTGATCCTTGTCAAACAGTTTGAATGCTTCCTTTAGTTCTTCTTCAGCCTCGGCTTCCTATACGCGCGCGCACACGCAAGAAAAGTATTTCAATGAACCTTAATTAATATCCATTTGTTATAAATGCATTCGACAAAAAAATAAACCTTGATTTCAGATAAATGAAATAATTCCATAAATAAAAAGAAAATACCTTAAGTTTCCTTGCCATGAGGTTCAAGAACTCTCCAAACTCGATAGTTCCATTGCCGTTGACATCCACTTCACGTATCATAAATTGAAGCTCTTCCCTTGTCGGGTTTTTTATCAATGTCTTAATCGCGTTTGCTAGTTCGCTTATTGTTATACACCCTACACCCACGCACACGCGCATATACATATATATATATATATAATAAAGTCAAAGATTTGTCAATATTCAACATATATATAATATATGCGTCGCGTGCTCATAAATGCATGCAAGACCTAGAAAAATCTCGCCAATTATGGTGGAACTTATAATTTGTTATATTTGGAATCAAATAAACGCAAAAGCTCTAGCTTGGTGATCAAATCAACTCTTAGGGTTCGACTGGTTGTACCGCAGCGGCTGCGGTTGCGGGTGGCAGCGTTTTCAAAACGTTTGATAGCGATTATAAATGATTAGTACTGACTGGTTGAGAAATTGCTGTTAGTAGCGATTGCGGGTGGGTGCAGTTAGAAGTGAATGGTTCATTACGGTTGCGGTTGCGTTTTGATATAAATTGTCAAAAAAATATTATTTAAAAATAATTTTTTATAATAGTTTTAATTAAATTTTTCGTATCATTTTATTTACTAAATTTATAATAATTAAATAATAAATTTAAAATAAAAATATTATCAATTTAATTTATTTTCAACTAAAAAAATAATTTTATTATAAAAATTATTAAAAATAATCCTTATTAAACCTAAAAATTATACTATTGTATTTTTTTTATTAAAATATAATACTAAAAAATAATATCAAATCATAACACTAAACAAAATCATCACCAATATATATATATTAATGTTTTATATAATTTCTAATAAAAATATTTTAGTTTTTTTGTCAAAACGCCGGAAACCGCTACCAAAACGCAAGTTGGAAACTGCGATTAGAAAACACAAGTTTGGTTGCGGTTGCGGTTAGTTGCGGTTCAACCAGTCAGTTTTTCAATCGCCCGCAACCGCCAAAAATCGCAACCGCTCCGTTTGCGGGTGGCGGCGGTGCAACCAGTCAGCCCCTTAATTAGGGTTAAGGTTTAGGCACTATAACAATTTAGACTCATGATTAACTATTACTATGTGCAGAAATATAAATAAATATATATATATATATACACGCGGATAATTTATGTGTATGAATTCGCTCGGAGGATACGCTACTCGCGCGTGATGTATGTATATGTGTATGTGTGTATGGACATAAAGAGAAAGCCTTACCATCTCCATCCCCATCTAAGAGGCAGAAAGCTTCTTGAAACTCAGCAACTTGTTGATCACTTAACACATCCCTTCCCAATCTACTCTTCATCTCTTCCCTTTTAAGCTAATAATACACACTCCAACACTCTTTCACAGTTTTTATCTATAGAGACAGCTATATATATAGCAATGTAAATTTGTATATATAGGATTTCAACACATACGCATATATTATATATAGAGAGATTAAAACACATACACACACACATATATATATATATATAGGGAGAGAGAGAGAGAAGGGCAAAAATCATCATGTAGCTGACTACAATAATTGTTCCAAGCGTTTTGGTAAAAAATTTACTAAATTAAAAAATGGGTTTTCAATTTTAGATTTTCCACGCGCGAGGAAATTTTGCTCCTCTCCAATAGAAAAAAAAAACGAGAATAAAACTATTATAAAATATATCAGTTATAAAAGTCTATTTAAGAAATTAGAAAAGTTATATAACTCCTGCGTCTGTCTAATAAATACAAAAAAAAAACATATATATAACCTAAATTCCTAGATGAGAACACAATAGTAAGAGCCTTAACCACTCATGCAAAACAAAAGTTAAATGATGGTATCTATTTTTGATCGATTATAAAATAGAAAGTTAATTTTAGAATCATCTCGTTTACTATGTTGCCTTTGTTTTCCATTCCTTCAAAAATTTATTTTGCACTTTTTTTATATTAAAATGAAACATTTGAATCATTTAATGGGCACAAATCGGTCAAAATCTTGCATACAAAAATCAAGATTTATTAAATTATATTACGTCATAGGTTTTCTACTTAGTTATTACAAAAAAAAAAAATAATTGAAAGACTATTTATTATTATTATGATTATTATTCGTATTATTAGAGAAAAAACCAAAAAAATCCTTTTGAAATGATCCACTTAAATCCTAATAAATCTTATAAAATACAAAAATATAAAACATTTAAAAAATTATAATTTTTTATTAAATTACTATTCCATAAATATATGACATGATTAAAATGAACAATAATATTATTAAATTATATACATTATTATCCTTGTATTAATTCGAGATTTTAAATGATAAATTAAAAAAGATATAATTTACTATTAAAATGTATTAGTTTTTTAAATACATTTATAATATACAACTGTTAACAAATCAATCGTGTTTATAAATATATAAAAATTATCCTTTTTATTATATCGCTTTTCAATACTAATTTCAAAAATGTATTATCATCACCATCACCATCATCATTATTGAAACCGGTTTTTCCTGTTTTGCTAAATAAATCATCAGAATATGTTTAGCAATTTGGTTCGTAAAAATTTAAAATGTGTGGACCAAATTTATATACAGAAATTCATAAATTAGACATAATGATAAATCCATGTGGAACAGTCTTAAGATAAGACATCTGTTAAAAGTTCACCTACAATTACATTATTCTAGAAAATATTACATATTATGTAAACATTTCAATCCGAGGTACTTTGAATAAAATTCGTTCTAAAATTGAATATATTTTTTTTTATCAATTTATATAAAGATAAAAAAAAATAGAGAATGCATTTTTCTAATGAAAACAAAACAAATGGAACACAATTCCAGCGTAATAATCGAATAATTTGTTGCTTTATTAAAACTTGAATAAATCCGAAAACTGAAAGATAATATAATCAAAACTTGAATAAATCCGAAATTCCCATATATATTCCGCCATAAATATGGGTTTGGTTGCTTGCTTTATTCTTCATCTTGTTTTAACGTTAAATAAATAGATAACGTACCGTAATAATGATATCATATTTTGGACTGATTTTCCTTTCTCGGTCTATTTTTTTTAATATTAGAAAAGTTTTTTTTTTCCAAACCTCAGACTCAGAATTCTGGCATGTATGGTACGCTGGAATTCAAACGGTACTTGCTTTCAGTCGTATTTATTTTATAATTTATTTTATTGTTTTTTTCAATGCGTGTTGTTGACCTTAATTTCCTTCGTTGTCAATTTCCTCTGTTTTGTCTCTTTCTACAGTTTCTGCATGAATTTTGATTTGTAAACGAAATATAAATAATTTTCAAGTACGACTCATTGAAAAATGAGAAAAAAAAAAGATGGAAACGAAAATTTCATGGACATTCACATTGAATCAAACCTTACAAATATAAGAAATTCACCACGTAAAATGTGATCCTGAAATCTTGGATAATTGTCGAAATTCTATATATTTGTAAATAATTTTGGATAGCCCATACAATTCATTACGACTTATCCTCCTATCTCACGACTAACATTTTTTTTTAATCTTTATGATTTATTACAACTTGTATGTATGTCTCAATGCACGATCCATATGACCGATTCACCATGATCCACTACCATTCACATGACTCCTTACGACACATCTAACTCGTTATGACCCACCATTCTAACTCGCTGCGACCCACCCCGACTCACTACGATCCACCTCCCGGCTGAGAGCGATTCATCTGGCTCACTACGCCACGTCTTTCTGATTCTCTACGATCCATTCTTCCGACTCGGCGACCCGTATAACTCATACGACTTACTACGACCTTTTTTACTAAAACTAAACAACTATTCGATATATTTATATTTACAATTGCAAAGCCAGCTATGGTATTAGTTTCCCATCGACAGTAAAAATTATTTTTTTAATTCTTCATGTCCATATAACATTTGATTTGAGGTGTATTTTTATTTATTTATTATGATTTATGTCCCTCCACCAATATTTCCTTCCATTGTTGCAAGCACTCAATTAAGTAATCACTCTTCTAAACAAATCCTTTGTACTGTAACAGAAATCAACATTATTTTGGACACGACACACAATCTCCCTTAACCATAAACCCCTCAATCATTCGAAACTCTCAGATTCGATTCGGACGTGATCTTCGGATTCAGATTCGGGTGTCCGAAAAATAGATTCCAACCTCTCCAAGGCCTATCAAGTGCGCCACATCTACAACAATTATCTACGGAATCCAATAAATTTCAAATGATCCATGCATGTGTATGAACAAATGGTGATAATATGCACAAATGTGAGATAAATTAAAAATCTATCTCTGGTGTAACCATTGACCGACCAAACGCAATCTAGAACAACCAGTGTTTTCTCTTTGGCTTCTGCTGAAGTGGAGCAGCTGCACCCACAGATGAAGATCACAGCTTTAATCAATCCATCACCTTTCCCTTTCCATAACAAGCGCTAAGGGCCAGAATTTATGATTGTGCTCTTAACATGGAATGAAAGAAAGACGTACCTTGAATATCATATAGTGAGTTATAATGCACCTGTGACCAAAAACTTAACCACAACTCTGCATCGTTTTAAGCATAGGATCGGATCAATTTTTGTTAAGACGGATAAGGCAGCTTCCCAAATTTTGTAAGAAATTGGTTTCGTATGATTACCCCGCTTAGGTGCTTGCATCCGAGGCATTATTTCGATGAAGCAAGTGTCCCTGAAGGACGTCAAGAGGCAGATCTTTGCAGCAAACTGCACGGATGAATGATTTTTCTTAAAATTTTTGCAAAAGCATCCGGAAAAATGGAGATTTCTCCAGAAAAAAATTTGCAAGATCCTAGAGGAACCTGCCCCCATCTCCAAAATGGGCAAATATCAGTTTCATGCATCATGCAACATCGATATGGAAATAAAAAATGAGACAAATTATGACGAGAAACAAAAGAGAGGTTTGGAAGGTGATGCGAACAACAAAGCTGTGATAGTTGAATCAAGAATATCAACAATAGCACCTTAAAGATCTCGTCGAGACAATGGGAACTAACCTTATCAGCCGCTGCTTGTAGGGTGACATGATCTCCCCATTCTCCCAACCTATGCCATTTTTGCAAATTTGAGTGTTAGTAAATTTCATAAAACACTTTCCAGGTCAAACTAATTACAGTCACTATACTTGTAACAAAATAGACAAACGACCATTCTGAGCCATATACTTTGCCATTTTCTTTTGATAGCGTTTGTATTTCATTGGAACATAGCTTTCATACATAGATCGAAAGCCCTTGAGCTGCAAAGGAAAAAGGAAAAGAACAGAAGAAACGAAAAATGTTAGGTGTGATTCGTGAACAACCGAGAAACTCCCAAGACAATTCAAATGACCATTGCATTTGTTCCCTGCTCATACAGCAACTGACCTGTTTGACAACTTCTTTCCTAACATGCTTGTGGTACTCTGGAGAACGGTACAGCTGGTCTGACAGCGCTCGGAACTGAAATCAACGGAAAAGGCACTGAAATTTTCTCGACGAAGATGACTAAATAGAAGGAAATAAAGGAATGGAGAAGGCAAGTGAAATGTAGCCTGCATTCACCTGGCAGTTTCCATCACCAGAGACCTTCATTTCGCATAAACCGTAAACGTTGAGCCTGGGAAGAGAACAAAAACCCTAAGAATCGGCCATTATGTAACGAAAGCCAGAAAACATCCTTGGGAACTATTGTCAACCTTGAGGAATGAAAACTATAAACATCATCAGACTCATGTCAAAAATACCTCTGAAGAAGGCGCTGGTGATCCAAGCTAGCATCACTTAAGTTGGGAATGTAAGAATTTATCCTGGGAACATGCTGCAGAAAATGGGTCGTGTTAATGGTGGAGGAGGAGCAAGGGACGATAAGAATGGCGATGAAACACTGAATCGCATCAAACAAGGTTGGAACTTACGGGGATGGGAGCAAGGCTAGATAGGCGTCTACCGACAGCGCCGTCTAGGTTAGCGTACTCTTCGGACAGGACAAGAGCAATCATCCGATCATCTTCCGTATCCTTTGGACGGATCCAAGGCGCTGAACTCGAAGACTCGCCCAGGCTCTCGATTCCGTTCCTCATCAGGTACAGGTGAGAAATATTATCTGCCAAAACAACAAAGCTTGACCGAATGTAAAACCCCAATTCGCACGAACCCTAATTCCTAGAATTCCTGATGGCATTGTAAAAATGGAGAATCGAACGCATCCGATGCTACAGAACGTAAAACGGAGACAAGGAAGAGATCAGAAGAAAATTTACATGGCGACGCAAAGGGAGAATAGAGGAAGTGAATCGGAGCGGGCCTAAGAACACGATAACGAACCAATCACTGGCGCCGTCATCACCATGACCAGATCGAAACTGTGAGGGAAAACGGAATTGAAGGGCCAGAAAAAGTTGAAACCTTTTGCCGTTGACTGCAACAAAGGCTTTTTTGGTTGGTGGTTTTGACGTTTTAATCAAAGGGAGAACAAAAAGCGAGGGGCGCCGATTGTGCAATAATGTCGGGATGAGTAGTTGGCCGGCCCTTTTACACGAAACCCATAAAAAAAAAAAAAACCGGTTTGCTTTTGAATGTATGCTGTTGCGGCAGATTCCATTTGGTTTATTCGGTTATAATTAGTTTGGATTCAGTTATTTCGTGTTTAAAAATTCAAAATCAAATCGGTTCTCTGGTTTTAATCAATTCGGTTTGATTATGTCAAATCAAAATTATAACCAAACTGCGATTCATGGTTGAAAGAAAATGCAACCCACTGATTTCTCTACTTACATATAACATATATTGCTAATCGTTAAATCCGATTACGGTTAATTTAGATTCGATAAATTCGATTACGGTTAATTCAAGTTCGATTAGTTCGAAATTCAAAAATTCATAATCAAACGATAATTTATTTTTAATCGGTTCGATTCAATTTGGTTTTATAACGCGGTTCAGTTTCTAACTAGCCGAAAGCCCACACACTATGCACCGAAAAGGATTCTTCACCAAAACCCCCCAATTTAACACATACTATAGCTCTGATTCTGCACCTTAAATCACTTTTTTTTTTTGTACAAATTTTCTAAAGTCTAGGAAAGCGCATCAGCCAGCTCAATCACCTTCAATGTCCGAACCTCCTCTTCTTGTTGCGCCCTTTCATGGATGCAAAATTGGAGAGTTCCCTTGGTATGGGAGCTCCATAACTTTTTAAAATCGCAACCAAATCAGGGAACAGATTTCGGTTCTCCTCGTTCACAAACAGAATAGCAGTGCCCTCTTCTCCTATCCGAGATGCCCTGCCGATTTGATGTATGTACTCCTCGATGGTATCAGGCATGTCAAACACTATTACCTGCCTGACCCCCAAAAGGTCGACCCCTCGGCCAAGAATCCCGGTCGAAACAAGAACGGGCACCTCTCCAGATAAAAATAAACCCATCAAATCTCTCCTATCCTTCATCAACTTCTCCCCGTGGATCGATAGAGCTCTTATCCCAGTGACTGTAGTTATCGCCTCTGCCAAGAGATCGGCTCCAATTCTTGAACTTACGTAAACAACAGCCGGAGGCTTGTAATGGTTCTGGCTCCTCAATATCTCAAAAAGCTTCTGCTTCTTTCGCTTGGTCTCTACCCAGATAGTCAGTTGCCTGACCGCTTTGCTCGGTCTGTTAGGCTCGCCAACCGATACCTCGATCATATCCTTTGATAGAGAGGCTGCCACCTTCTCCACCTCTTTGGAGATTGTTGCGGAGTAAAGCAGGACCTGGGGTTGCGATAAGGCCCTGAATATCTGCATCACCTGATCCCTGAAGCCCCTCTGAAGCAGGCAGTCAACCTCGTCCAGCACAAACATCGTAACGTGGTCCAGTTCAATGTCATGCTTCGTCAGGAGATCGATAAGGCGGCCCGGAGTGGCAATGATCAATTCCACGCCTTGCTGAATGCGGTAGAGTTGCCTAGACATGGGGTCACCACCTACGACAAGAGCAGTCTTAAAAGGCAGGCCCTTTCCGAGCATCTTTGCCTGCTCCTCGACTTGGATGCAGAGCTCCCTGGTCGGCGTCAAAACAATCGCTAACAGTCCTTTCGGGACAGAGGGATGCTCAGAGCGGAAGCTTGCACATCGAGAAACAATGGGAACAAGAAAAGAAACCGTCTTGCCCGAGCCAGTGCTGGCTGAAACGAGCAGGTTTTTGCCAGTTAAAGCGGCTGGAATCGCTTGCATCTGGATAGGAGTGGGGATGCGATATCCAGCTGTTTCTAGATTTAGACGAAGCATAGAAGGAAGTCCAAATGAATCGAAAGACAAGGCAGGAGGAGGGACTGTTCCTCCTTTGACATCAATTTCAATTCTGCTTCTAAGCAGTTGAGCATCATCATCATCATCTCTAACATAAAAACACTCATCACTGACAGGAATTGCCTCGAGCCTTCTTAAGAGCCTTTGTTTGCATTCAAGACTGCAGATGTCATCATCAGTCTCATCACAGATGTACTCGCCGTAACGAGAACAGATCACACATTTAGGATCTCCCGGGAGAGGAGCTCTCTGGTCCACGGATTTCTGCTTGATACCGTCTTCTGCAGCAATCGGGTACACCAAAACAGCGACCAAGCAATATTTTAGAGGAATATCCTCAGAGGAGAAAGTGAATAAAACCCCGAATTACGAAATCATAGCAAAACCCGGAAGCAAAAGTGAATGAATTAGAGTATGAACATGAATCTGCGAACCAGGAAGTTGAGGCCTGAGGTGGTCTTCGTTCATGCTCGCAGCTTATTCAGACAGCTCGATTCCTGTTAATCGGCCAAATAAATCCATGTTACGATACGAAACCATCCAAACATTAGCAATCGAAAATAATACAGACACGATCCGATAGTGAAGGAGAACAGCCTTGATTCGTCGAGAGACTTGCCTTCGAATCCGTCGTTGTTGGTGCTGAGTTTGGAGAGGAACGCAGGTTTCTTCAAGGAAATTGAAGCGTTCTTAATTAACCTTTGATAAATTACAAACCCAGAAGGCCAGAACGATATTAACCCTTGTTTATGCAATAATTACATTTTTACCCTTGGGCAATAAACGGCCACTCCTCTCGAAGCTCGCGTCACCCTGTCCGTTTGCCCTCGACGCTTGCCTCCTACCGTCAGTCGCGCTTGTTTCAGGTTTGTTTCTCTCGCTCTCAGGGGTCGTTGGGTTAGGGTTTCAGTTTTTAAGGTTCGATCTAGTCTCCTCTGGACCTTCATCGATGGTTAGGCTCGATCTCTCAGGTTAGGGTTTCATCGGTTTAGGGGTTTTGTGGTTAGGATTTCTCAGGTTAAAGTTTTGCTTGGATTCGACCGATTGTGGTCTGCTCGAGCTTGAAGAGGAAGAACTTGCAGAAATCTGTTAATTGCCTTGTTTCCCTTTCTGGAAAATCTGAATTTTGTCTTTAGTTTCTCTTTTTCTCGTTTTTCTTTCTTAGATTTGGTTTTGGGCTAGTGTATTTTTTATGGGTTTCTAGCTTGTGAAATTAGCAAATCTCGCGTAGGGTTTTCTCAAAGCAGGTTTCATCATGGTTGTGAAAGTTAATGGATTAAATTTGACTGTGTCGGAAATTCTGGAAATGAAGAGACGATTTAGGTTCTTTGAATTCAAAATGGGTGATTAATCAAGACTGCTTTTGTTAATTGGAATTTTGTTCTCACCATTTCTGTTTGCTTAACCATTTGCCGTCTTCCTTAATTGCTGACGATCCCGTTCTCACCATTTCTGTTTGCTTAACCATTTGCCATCTACATTGGTTCATTTTCGGTAAAGATAAATGTACTTGGTGTCCATTTGCTGTCTTCCTTAATTGCTTACGATCCCGTTTATGGATGTTTCAATTTGAGTGTAATGTTAATTCTACCCTCTTTTTACATTTTTCCCTCTCTCGTTCCTCTATCCAGCATCATAGGGTCAAGCCATGGACGAACCCAATAATACCCAGAAACATGGATTTGATTTAGGAGCATTTGTTGGAGACTTGACTTTTGAAGAGGATTCAGGCAGGTAACATTCTGATGCCTTCCTCTGTGACATTTATAAGGGTATAAAAAGGGTACTTCTTCTCTGAATTATTCAGATAATTATTACATCTTGTGAATGACATGAATTCAAATATTTGTACCGCAAATGATAAAATTGATCTAATCTTCTTCTTGTGGCAGTGATGATGTATCATTGGAAGGGCTTCAGCAAGAACTAGAAGAATGTGAGAGTGATGAGGTAACCGAATCATAATTCCTCTAGATCTAAGATTGGATGTCCTATGGATCTTTCACCTGAGCTTGTCCTTTTTCCAGCCCCTTTCGCTTTATATCTAGTATTTTTGCTTTAGGAAAATATTTGTTGCTCTACTTTACTTACTCCATGATTAACCATCTCTTTTAAATCCTTCTAGACTGGTGCCAAAGTTGAGGATATCCGTACTAGGACTTTTAAGACAGAAACCTGTGTTTAGAACAAAATCAAGCTTGTGGTTGTCACTCGTCTGTTTCCGTGCTCATGAGTCATGGCTACCGTCTTTTAAATTGCTCTGTACATGGATTGATCACTTTGAGATGCAATGATATGACATCCTCTCCATTTTATTGGCGTGTCAGTTCAGGTTGTTGCCAATATACTCTGCAATGGTGCAAAACTTAGGGACTATGCAAAAGGGGTTGAAAACAATCTGCGGAAGGTCGAATTGGAGTCGATCCAGGTTGTTATTTGATTTATGATACGTGACATCCTCTCTATTCTGCTTGCACTAATGCTTTACCCTTCATGTATGTCCAGGATTACATTAAAGAAAGTGATAACTTAGTCTCACTTCACGATCAGATTCGTGACTGTGACAACATCTTGTCACAAATGGAGAGCCTCCTGAGTGGATTTCAGGTGTTTTAGCCCTTCATGTGCCCTGTAAATTATGTTTTTTTTTTCTGTTTATTCCTTTCTCTCCATGTTCTGATTGCTTTAGTTTCACGGGGATGTGTTTCTTTCATTTGGAAAACCGATGACTGATTCTTTTACTCTTCACTGAACCTTGTTCTCTTTTTTTTTGTTTTTTTTTCTCTTTTTTCTAGGAAGAGATTGGTTCTATAAGCTCAGACATAAAGATTCTACAAGAAAAATCAATGGACATGGGTCTGAGACTAAAAAACCGAAGGGTATAAATCAATCAGGGACTGATGTTAGCATTCTCTTTTGATTGTCATGCCCTGGTTTTGTTGTTTTATGTTGCTACCCTTTGAACAGGTGGCTGAATCGAGACTAGCCAAATTTGTGGAAGACATCATAATCCCACCAAAGATGATAGATGTAATTGTTGATGGAGAGGTATTTACAAACTTTTCTCTTTTGTGATGGCTTTCGGTAGTTGGCAAGATTCGTGCAGGTTCTTGATATTTCCCTTTCTTTTTCTTTTCTTTTTTCTATTTTTTGAATGTGCTGCAAGAGTTGCTTATTTAAGGTCTATGATCTGGAAAATATAGGAGAAACAAATTCTTTATTTGATAGCTCATTTGGGTTTCATGTTGCCATTATGTGCATTAATAGAATTGGAATTCATTATTCCTCGTCTGTCTTTTAACATTTAGACACATTTTTTTTGCATTAAGTATCTCCTAATTTTGAGTCCTACTGCAGATTGCTGAAGGAAAATCTCGTGTTTCTGGATTTCTCAGATATATGTTTCGTTTTCTTGTTCAGGTAAACGAAGACTATATGAGAACACTTGAAATTCTGAGTAAGAAGCTGAAGTTCACTGAGATGGATCATGTGGTCAAAAGTTCAAAAGCTCTAAAAGATGTTGAGCCAGAGCTTGAGAAGCTCCGGCAAAAGGCCATTTCAAAGGTTATTGATCATATTTGCTTGCTGCTTTGGGTGTTGTCGAACAAATATGCATTCTTTACGTTTTCTATAATTCTATTACTATGTCTATGATGTTACTCTTGGTTTTGCCAAGTCCTGACTGTTTCATGAGTCACTAACTCAAACTGAACATTTGCTGTTTGCATGTTTCTTGACATGGTCCATTGTTGTATAATTTAGGTCAGAAGCTAGTTTTCCTGAATAATCCAATCTTTTCTCACATGATGATGAGACTAGTATTCTGCTTTGTCCTTTTTTATCGTAAAGGAATTGATGGCCTAACAAAGGTGTGTCTGGCATAAGCTCTATGAATTTAGTACTCTATAATCTGAGTTGGTTTTGTTACTTCTCTCACAGTACTCAAACTGTGTACACATGAACAGGAGAAGTGTTTTTTCTTATGCGACAGTCATGTATATATCTGCAGGTGTATGATTTTATTGTCCAGAAGCTTATAGCCCTGAGAAAACCAAAAACAAACATCCAGATTCTTCAACAAAGTGTGTTGCTAAAGTACAAGTGAGTCATGTTCTACTAGCAGCTCTACATGATTTATGCCACATTGCTCATTCACAGAGCTTCTTTTTCTTCTCGACTGCACATCTCTGTATGTGTTCTATATGAAGGTGTCTGTAGAACTTATATCACAAGCGATTTGGTGCTCCTTGTGATTTGAGTTTTTCCATGATATTGGTGTTTGTGATGTGGTTGTTTTATTTTATATTTTATTGATATGCTCAGCATATTTCAGTTTCTTTTCATCAGATAGATTTATCTCAGTCCATACTTCCTCTGTCAATAATCATTTAAATTGCAGATACATCATTTCTTTCCTCAAGGAACATGGAAAGGAGGTGTTTATGAATGTCCGTGCAGCCTACGTCGATACTATGAACAAGGTGATTATTGTTTCTCCTGTTGCAAAACGGGCTGCAGCTTTTTGCGTATAGCATGACATGAACAAGGCAGGTAGGGACAGCGCTAGAATTGTTCGTGTGAACTCTTTTTCAGTTCAGTCAAGCTGCCTGTAGGGTATAAATTCAGTTGGCTAGTCTTTGTTGGGATGCCCTTTCCCCAGGCGTTTGTGCAATGTTGAGTTTTTTAGTAGAAGAAACCAAAATTTGCTTCCCTGAAACGAAACTCTTACAAAGTTAAGCTCATACTTGAATTTATCTTTAATCAAGATCAAATGTAAAAGTTGGACAGTTACTTTTTTCATTATTGGTTGAACTAATTTTTTTAAAATTATGTATGTACCTTAGATAACCAAACTGCTGCTGCTTTGACTTTGAATTATTGTCAGACCTGCTTATGTCATGTGAAATCTCACTATCTCAGTGGATGTAACATTATTTTGTATTATTTAAATTCCCGTCCATATGTCTAAAATACTACTGGTATTTTCAGGTGTTAAGTGCTCATTTCCGGGCTTATATTCAAGCTCTTGAGAAACTGCAGTTAGATATAGCTGCATCAAATGACTTGATTGGCATAGAGACTAGAAGCACTGGCCTCTTCTCAATTGTAAGGGAGCCCCTTAAAAATCGCTCTGCTGTCTTTGCATTGGGTGAAAGGATAAGCATTTTAAAGGTATGCTTCATTAGTGATTTGCAAATGCTGATTAGTTGTGCTTAAGCCATTGTGCTGGCCGATCTTAAATATGTGTCACTTTTCTGATTCTTGATGCTGAAGATGATACTAATTTTTGGGTCTATTATTAGAAGTACAGAAACTTGTTCTCTATATCTATACCATGGGTTACACTTGATCTCTTTATATTTTTGTTGTAGTTGAATATAGTTACTCCATGTTTTGATTGGTAAAGGATGTGGCTTTGATTTTATGTCAACTTAACTGTAGGAAATTGATCAACCTGCACTGATCCCGCACATAGTTGAAGCCAGCTCTATCAAATATCCTTATGAAGTGCTCTTCAGAAGCCTGCACAAGCTACTTATGGATACAGCTACTTCCGAGTATTGTCGATTCTGCCCTCCCTTATTTTTTATTGTTTCTTCTCATCCTTCAGCTCCTCTAATGGTTAATATTATTTATTTCATTCATCAGGTACATATTTTGTGATGATTTCTTTGGCGAAGAATCCATATTTTATGAGATTTTTGCTGGTAACATCTACCCTGTCTCACATTTTCCATAGCATATTTGATAAACCTCTGAAGAATTGATAGCTGTTGAGAGAGTATACCAACTTATATTACAGATTTTTTTTCACCATACTTAGAATAGTAGATGATGGAAATCTGATAGAACATATTCAAGGTACTAGACGACCATTTGGTCGGAAAGATCAAAGAGTAATGCAGTCTTTCTAGAAGATTATACGATGATTGAAGTAAGCACACTTTGTTGGTAATTCGCATTTTTTATTCTCCATGATATAGGTCCATTTGGTGTCATGGATGAGCACTTCAATTTAGTGCTTTCAAACTGCTATGATGCTATTGGGCTAATGCTTATGATCTGCATCATCCACCATCACCAGGTAATATCTATGGCCTAATCTCTGTTTACGGTGAGTTTTTTCTTTTGGTGAAACCCTTTTAAAATGATGTAATTTCATTGTGCTAGTTATTTTTCCCATTGTCATGTGAAAACCTATAGTTTTGTGGTCCTTCGGAGTCTTGCTCAACCAAAGGCCTTTTTCTTCCGTTTCCCGACTAATGTGGCAAAGATGAAGAATGTAGTTATTTACCTTGTGATATGTGGACTTGCAAAGCCTTAGGGTCTGGGGCTGCTTTTTGGATACACTGCTCATGTAGACCCATATTCATACCATTATTTGAGTTCCTCAGTCCTAGACTCCTAGTCAACATGCCACAGTCAGACGTTTTTTCTATCAGTATGATAAAGTAGTGTTACTTATCAGTTGCTGATTTCCAAAGATTTGGAAAATAATGTCAATGGTGTTTCTTTTGGTCAACTATCAATATCAATGATTACTGTGTGAGTTTCAAGTTTTACAAGGAATATTCTGTTTTCCATCTTCACACAGCTTGTCATGGCTAGGAGGAGGATTCCTTGCTTGGATTCGTATCTAGACAAGGTTTGTTTTCCTCATTGATCTGTTTGAATGTACTGTTAAATGTGTGGCTTTATTCTCAATTGTTACACTCTAAACTAGAGTTGTTTTTTACTTTAGGAAAGTACCCATAATGTAGTATATGCAGCTATCTAATGGAATCTTGTGTGTTCTGACAAATGGATCAGGTTAATCTCTCTTTATGGCCTCGTTTCAAGATGGTGTTTGATTTGCACCTCAGCAGTCTGCGAAATGCTAATGTGAAGACATTGTGGGAGGATGATGTTCATCCTCACTATGTTATGAGGCGTTATGCTGAATTCACAGCATCGCTTATTCACCTGAATGTTGAATATGGAGATGGGCAGGTTGGATATATGCATTCCCCTCCAAATTACGAGATGTGTTACTCGGAGCTGTTTGACATTTATCGATGGTACTTGCAGCTTGATCTAAATTTGGAGCGTTTGAGAGTGGCTATGGATGACGTGATTCTCAAGCTGGCAAAATTGTTCCCAAAGCCAAAGCAGCAAATTGTTTTTCTTATAAACAACTATGATATGACAATTGCTGTGCTTAAGGTGGAGAAAATCTTTATCTCAAAATTAATTGAACCCTCGTCATGCTTTGCCTGGCAAGAAATGCCTTTGTGATTTACAGCAAATCCAAAACTCTATATGGCTTGTACCCACCAGATGAAAGTACATTGATCTTCATGTATTTGAATTCCAGGAAGCTGGTGCAGATGGTGGGAAAATCCAAATGCATTTCGAGGAATTGCTAAAGAGCAATACTTTGTTATTTGTGGTAAGGGCTGATGTTGCATTCATGAAATCGCTGATAGTTTCCTGTGAGTGGCCATAACATCTGTATTTAGAAATGTACTTTTGAAATCCACATAAGACTAATGATGTACTTGAGATGATTTTAGTCCCCTGGTCTTGAATTTTGCTGGGAAGGTGATTTTCATTTTATCTTTTGACATTTTGAATCCATTTTGCCTTCTTGCAGGAAGAGCTGCTGGTGGAGCATTTCAGTGACCTAATCAAATTTGTGAAAACCCGAGCCTGTAAGCAACTTCATAGAGTCAAACTTTTCCAAAATTAAAAACATTCCGATGCTAAAATGTTGAAACATGCAGCGTCGGAGGATTCAAGTTCTAACCGGGCGAGGTCCATAATAACGGTTGGTGAAGTAGAGGCAGTGGTGAAAGACTTTGGAAGCAGATGGAAGGCAGCTATTGAAATGATGCACAAAGATATCATAACTTCGTTCAGCAATTTCTTGTGCGGAATGGAGATCCTGAGGGCCGCATTGACGCAGCTCTTGCTATATTACACCCGGCTCACCGACTGCATCAAGAACCTCGATGGCGGGTCTGCTCTTAACAAAGATCTTGTCTCCATTTCGTCCATCATGTTTGAGATCAGGAAGTACTCAAAAACTTTCTAGAGTGCAACAACACCTTTGTGGAGAAGCTGCTTATGAAAGTTATGTAAAAATGTTTCAATTTGTTTCTTTTTTTTCCTTTTCTTTTAACAGAAATCTATATGGTTTGACCCTTCCTTATAGTTAGCTTAAGAGTGGAGAGCCGAATTTGATCCTTTCTTATATACCGGTCCATAAGACACCATTGGAAAATAGAGAGTTTTTTATACCAATTAATAAGGTTTAGATCTTAATTCCACCACAAAAACTTTGATCCCAAATCTCTCTATTTTTTCGATGTGGGACACTTATCAAAATTTCAAGCCAATATTTGTACTGATTTCTTTTATATGGGAGAATAAGTCGTTTTTGAATTACAGATTTTAAGTTATTTCAGAACGCATGGTCAACAAACTTGGTCCAATTTTAAACTAGTCTTCGAACATTTATCCACAACCAAGAGGCTCAAGTTCTTGGGATTCGTGGGTGTTTCGGTATAGTTGAAAAATAGGTATCATTTTTAAATCAAATCGTATAAAATTTCTGAATTAATAAATTGTTTTACAAAAGTGATCGAAAAAATTGAAAAATCAAAATTTTTTTAATCTAAACTTTTTTACTAAAAACATAAATCGAACTGAATTGAATATTATATAATAACCAATTGATATATATTTTATATAATCGAATCGAATTATTTTCGAAACCAATATCCCTAGTTCTTTCTGCTGCCCTATTCTTCACTATTATGGAGAAATGTTTTTTTTTTAATTGTACGAAATGTACGCCATTAAATTCAGTCTCTAAACTCAATTGGGCCGAAAATACGAAGAGAAAAAAAAAATCCAAATAAAACGGGCCTCAGATGGCGAGCCGGACGCGTGAGTTTCACGCTCTGTTGTACCTCCCCGGGACAGCGACTCAGCAGCTGCTAGCTTGCTTATGGTGCCGAGAAAACCGATTAATCCTCGCTTCCACCGATAATGGCGGCCATGGCCATGGATTTCTCTCATCTGTCTGTGTTGTTGATGGTGTTGCCACTGCTTCTGTGTATCCATATTAAAATCGCTGGAGCCTCCATCCACATCTACACTTCCCAACCTTTCCACGATGTCGGCAACTCTCTCCTTCTCTACGGCGGCAGCGAAGGCATTTCCGCCGGATCCTCCTCTTTCATCCGGTACTCCTCTCTCTCTCGGTCTGATCTCACAGATACTTTCGTTGGTCCCTAACCATTTCTTCTTCTCATGCTCGGATCTCTTACAGTTTCAAGAACATCACTTTCTGGAGGACGAGGGACGCCATTGATAATCGCTCACCGAAAGGCCGTAACAATGGCTTGGTCCAAGCCGTTATTTTCGAGGCCTCCCATCGTAACAACATCGGTGGTTCTGCTTATGGTGGCCAACGCTCGATTTGTTGCACACCAGATCTCGCAAAACTACAAGGCTGTAAGCAGGGTGAGATTATTAGGATCCCTTCTGCTTCTGACCCTAGATGGCCCATTCTCTTACGCGTCAACTTCAATGGAAGACGCTTATCTGCTAAAATGGGAGACAATGAAATTCCCATCAGCAAATCTGGAATCTATAACTTGTTGTTCATATCGTGTGATCCAAAACTCAGGGGCCTCAAAATGACCGGAGAGACCATTTGGAAAAACCCTGACGGTTATCTTCCCGGAAGAATGGCTCCTTTGATGAAGTTTTATGGTTATATGTCTCTTGGGTATCTGTTGCTCAGTGCCATCTGGTTATTTCAGTACCTGAGGTTCCGAAGGGATATATTGCCTCTTCAACATTGCATCACTACTGTTATTGTTCTCGGATTTCTCGAGATGGCCTTTTGGTACTTGGACTATGCAAATTTCAACAGTACAGGCACGAGGCCTGTTGCCCTTACTTCATGGGTTGTCACCATTGGTGCTCTCAGGAAGACTGTTTCTCGCATTCTCATCCTTTGTGTTTCAATGGGTTATGGTGTCGTTAGGTCCACTCTCGGTGGTCTCACTTCTAAAGTCCTCCTCGTTGGTGTGACTTACTTCATAGCTTCCGAGATGCTTAATATAGCTGAGTATGTAGGCACCATCGACGATATATCCGGAAGAGCAAAACTTTTTCTTGTCCTGCCTGACGCTTTCCTGGATGCGTTTCTTATATTATGGATCTTTACCTCTCTTGCAAGAACACTTGAACAATTACAGGTCTTTAACCTCTTGTTTTCATACAATCTTTGACCAGGGTATCCTATTTATTGCCCGCCAATTCCATTACTTGTGGGAATACCCATTTGGCTGGTTCTTACCTATATGCATTTTATTTTTCTAAATGCAGATGAAGAGGACCTCGGCTAAGTTGGAGATTTACAGGAAGTTCTCAAATGCGCTTGCCATAATGGTGGTTGTCTCTGTTACTTGGATCGTGTATGAGGTACTTTCTTGTCAATATTGTTAAAGATGTCATTAGAGTAAATGTCATGCTTTTATTAAACTCGAGGAATACTGACTGCAGCAGGAGTCTATAGTCTTGTCAACATTGTTAGAATGCTGTTAGAGGAGTAGCGAGAGCACAAGGAGTTTGTGTTGTACTTGAGATAATTGATTTGCTGTTAGCTAGAACTGAGAGAAACTGTTGGTCCCTCGGAACATTGCTGTTCTTTTTTCTCCTGGATGTGTTAATGTTAGATGTGATATGATTGCCCGCCAGGTTTATTTCAAAGCAACAGATCCCTTCAACGAAAGATGGCGGACTGCTTGGACTATAACTGCTTTCTGGGATATTATTGCATTCCTGTTGCTTTGTGTCATTTGTTATCTGTGGGCGCCGTCTCAGAATTCTCAGAGGTATGTGTTACACTTACACCCATGATCAATATCTTGCAATTCCTGTACAAGTTTAATCCCAGAAACCATCTACTTAATATGTTTGGCCCATGCAACTTTGATAGTGGTGACTTGAATGCTGATATGTAAAAGCAAAAACGACTGACAGATATGCCTATGCGGGAGAGGCCGAGGAAGAAGAAAACAACAACGAGGAAGCTGAATCTTTGACAGGGGGAAAGCAAGATGGTGAAATCAGTTTAGTGAAGCAGGAAAAGGCTGCTGTTGGTTCGGACAGAGAAGATGATCTTGAGGAAGACAAGACTGAGTAACAGGGTTCTAAGCCGTATATACTGAGCTTGTGCACGTGTATGTAAACATTCCGCCACTGTTTCTGTTTGTCCGGTGGATTTGTGATCATAGGGATTTTGTTGCTGAAAAGACTTTTGTTTCACCTCCCTTCCAAAACCAACTTCAGTCTCGATCTTCCAGTAGATGATGAAACCAGATTCACTATCAGAACCATCTAAATCCTTATCTGTAAACCAGCCTCTACTGTGTGGTACGTATGGACGTGGATCGGATATCCAAATTTTTCGGATAAGTTCTGTCCTAATGGATTTTCCGAAAACAATCTCTCGGTTTCAATCTTTAGAGACGCGGGTACCCGTTACGAAGTTGGGAATTCACATATTAGTATATTTCTTTGGTTTCAAAGATATATTGATGATTTTACGTTAAAATAGACATAGATGGTATTGTAAATATATCAAAATAATAGGGATACATTCGTAAATTTACTCGGGTATTCACAGGTAATCTGTTGTGATTCGTTAAAAACCCGAATCCCCGGTCCAAATTTTGATCCACGTTGCACCCATTACTGGTTTCGTTGGTTACAGTTAGATATCCGCGCCCTGAACAGGTATATAGTATATAGTAATCAGTCGAAAAAATGGGCCTGAATCTACAAAGAACCCCTTCTCCCCCGTCGGCGTGCTAAGGGTTTTCCAAAGCGACAATGGAGAAAACCGCCGTCGATGAGCTCCACCGTCAGCAGTGCGAGGTACTCCGTCACTCTTTTTCACTCTCTGTCTCCTCTCTCAAGTCTTTTGACGCTTCGTTCTCTTGTGATCAGATAACAGAGAGGCTTCGAGACCCTCGGGGACTTCGGAAGGGAGGCATCGCCTCCATTGGAGCTCATCCGAGCGGCTTTGTCCGCCATGTACTTCTCCTTTTTTATCTCCCCCTTTATTTCCAATTCTCATAGAACAAGTGTTGATAGATTGTCGGATTTTGGTTATGAAGGCGGATAGGAACGACGATATGGAAGATGAGCCTTCTGCCAAAAGGAGATTGTCATCCGCCGTTGTTAGGGTAATTGCTGCTTCTGCATTTGGTCAGTTCTGGTGTTGATGTTACGACTCATCAAATCCTAGTATTTCTTTCGTCACCTGTTTATTTTTAACTATTTTCCATCCGAAACTCCTCACGTGTAGGAGTAACAGATAATGCATTTTGTGCCCATTATGAACTTCTGGTGTATCTTGCTTCTCCAGTCATTTGACTCTCGAAGACTAATTTTTTTTCTCAGCCTTACTGTCGTCTGTTATTGGGGGAATCAGGTCGAGGGTGATGAGGAGGCAGATAGGGATGGAGAAATGGGAGAGGATGTCAGGGAAAAGCATTTTACAGCTGCTGAAAACGGAGCCTCTGATGAAAGTGTGAATAAGTTTCCCGGCCAACATCATGGCGCTTGGTCCCGGCGGGTAGATACCCATCAAAGAATGGCTAAGAAGGTAAATTTCACATGCACTCCTCCTGCAAAACAGTGATTTGGAGTTTTATGTACGTTCTTATTGGCTTTCCTTTCATTAGGAATCTGAAGCTCTTGCATTGCCAGGAGCCTGCGCCGAGGATTTTATGTAAGAATGAAGATCAAAGTTTGGTTAATAGGAATAGAAGAACGCTGAGCCAACTGTTGGGGACTTTGGAGGCATGTGTTGCAGTCTCAATCGGATTAGTTAAATTCATCATTCATGTCAAATGTGTTGATTCTTGTTCAACTAATTGCTTTCTTGCTTGTCTATTTGCTTGTTGCTTCTACAGTAGTTTAGAAAAGAAGATAAGAAACTTTCTGGATCAGATGCCTACGCACGGCGGCGGTCCACTGCCCTGCAAAGAGTAAGCTCATCTCTCACTATATTCAACACTGTTGCTTGATTTGAGCCTTTTTCAACTTCATGGAGCTGTTAATGATTTAGAGATTATTGGATTTGAACTTTAATTATCTGGCTTTGAAGGATTATCTAAATACTTTCGCTGAAGAATTAGCTTAGTAACTGATTTGGAAGAGAATAACTAGATCTCTTACTAACTTTCCAAGCTGTTGGAAATAGGTCACATATCCCTTGAAATTGTGTTTTGTTTTAGTTTCACAACTTGTTAAGCAGAACTAATGCCTATCTCTAGAGGGGAATCCTCGGCTAGCATCTTTTTTTTCGTTCTACAATTGTGCCATATTCTTTCTATTTATGTAGGCTGAGCAAAAGGCACGTGAAGAAAGTGAAAGACTGAGGCTGCAAGAGCGTGAAGGACCGTGAACACATTTCTGAGAAGAGGAAGAGAGATCTTGTAAGCAGCAAGCTATGGTTTATTGTTTTGCATACTGTTCCATATATTGTTTAGTGATGAATCTGATGTATTCATTTTACTTCCATGTTGTCATCAGACTCTTCGAGCTCGTGTTTCTGCCAAAGCAGAACAGAAGATATTGGAACTGCTTTTCCTCCAGTGGACTGAACACCAAAAGAAACTTGGCAATTTTATGAGGTAGTTCTGGGGTGGTGTTATTTGCAGTCTCTACCATTTTCATTAAATAGCCTTGCTGGCACTAAACCATGCTTACTGATGATTTTGCTATGATTACAATTTGCAGCTTATTTTTATTTTCAGTCCAAAGTGTGCATAATCACAGTTGTATAGAGGTGAAGATAAGTTTCTATTCACATGCATACTAATGTTGAACGAACTTGGAGAAATAGTGTTTTGTGTTATGTGTCCTGTCCCTAGGTAGAAACTTCTGGTTTTTTATTTAGTTTCCGCTTCTTACTCACATTTTTTATTGCATGGGGGATGCATCTTCAGGACTAAAGCAGAGCCACCGATATATTATATGCTAGCAAAGCCATTGGAAGAAGATACACCTATGTCGGAACAACTAAAAGAGCAGGTATGCCTTTAAGCCATCATTTTTTTTTTTGGTAATTTCCCTGAGCTGTTGTTCTCCTTTCTCTCTACTCTCTAGAAAGGGTAATAGGGTAGTAAAGAATGGCCTATGTAAATCTGCATTAAATTGAAAGGATTTCACGGGCTACGTATTCATAACTGAATGCTGGGTAAATCTGGAAACAGGTATTGCTGGAATGGAAGGCTACAAGGCGAGAAGAAGTGAATAAGTATCAAAAGGAGATAGAAGAGCAATATCTGGCGAAAGTAGAGATGGAGCTGGAGAGATGGGAGAATGCAAGAAAGGCAAAGAGGGAAGCTCTTATAAATTTAAAGGAAACAATGGATGAGGAATTAGAGGCGCATAGGAAGGAGAATGGGCCGAAGAAAAGGGAAATTCATGGAGCGGGAGGAGATGAGGAAGACGAGGTGGAGGATATGAATGGTGGGGAGGATGAATTGATGATGGATGATGTACTCGGATGTGGAGGCGATGCAGTGGAGGCAAATGATGATATAGCCGAGGTAGATACGGCCGGCGATGGTGGCAGCGGCAATGGCGTTTATCAATCTTCGAATGAGCACTACTAGTCTTGGTCGCAACTCTCAACTACTTGTCTGTGGTTGCTTCTGCTTGTTGTATGTTAGGGAGTTGTGAGTGAGCACTAGTCAGTGTCAATTACTTGTCTATGGCCTTGCCAATGGCCCTTCACCTCTTTTGGCCCGCAATTTTCCGAGCCGGGCCGGCCCGGCCCGAAGAACGAACGGGCTTTGATTTGTGAAGTCCGAGCCCGTAAATTTTACGGGCGGGTTCGGGCCGGGTATCGGGCCTCGGGCTTTTTTGACACCCCTACCTAGGGCTGTCAACCGAGTCTGAGTTCCTGAGTTGGTTCGTTTTCCAATGAGCTGAGTCATTATTTTCAAGAATCGATTCAAAGCGATTCTGACGAGTTTGCTCGTCACAGATGTGATGTGAGTTACGTCGAGTTAGTTCGACCGAGGTATGAGTTGGCTTGCCATTTGAGACATTTTTTTTTATATATTGTTTTGTACAGCACAATTTTTCTATCCATTTCAAATTTGTTTTGTATGGTGTATGAAGAATTAAGAATCGAGTTTAATGTTTTTTGTCTGCTTTGTATGGTTTTATTTATAAATTTGTGTTTTATGTTTTAATATTTAAATTTCAAGAGCATTAGAATGTCATTTATTAGTTATATTTTATAATACGAGTATGTAAAGGTTATATTTGTTTGTATAACTGTCTCGGCTTGTAGAAAAACGAGTAGTGGCCGTTTTGCATCGTTCTAAACCCATGTCGCTTAAATCTAAACTGGAAGCCTAATGGGCCTTTGGGCCATGGTGGTGGCACTTCTACTGTAGGCCCAAAATACTCCACGGAGGCATGTCGATGGTGAAGAAATTGGGTGTAGACTCTATAAAGAGAGGGAGATCGAGACAAAAAAGCATTAGGGTTCCTCCGACGACTCTCCGGTGCTCTCTGCTATCTCTGCCCGGTATGGCGATTACTTTACTGCTTCTCTTTTTGTTCCCTCTCGTTGGATTGTTCATGATCCCCATTTCCAGATCTTTTTTCTTCTTTTTGGCTGCTGATTATTGAGCTAGATCTGTTCGATTTCTCTCTAGAAAAAAAAAAGTTTAAGCCTTGTCCACTAAGGTGACGTTTTCTGACAGAGGTCTGATCCGTCTATCGCAGGTTATATAGCTCCCGCTTCTGCGATCCGTTGTTTGGCCGTTTTCTCGCCATGTAAGTTTTGGCTGACTAGCTCTCAGTGGGACTCTATGCGTTACAGTTATCATTTTTCTTCCCTGGCCTATTGTGATTTTGAAATACGTATTGTTCCAGACATTTGGGTTTTATCACTTTCTACATCGATCGGCTTTAACTGTGGGGCTATGAATTGTCCTTTAAGCTGACACATGGAAGATATTAGAAATTTAGAATGAGCTTATGGTTTATTTGTAGCATTAGCAGTTGACTAAGGAGTAAGAACAGTTGGTTGTCCTTTATTCATTGATTGTAGCTGGATTTTCCACAACTGGGCTTATATTCATGATAGCTGTGTGTATAATAGCACTCTGTACCCCTTTGCATTTCCTGGTTTGCATTTCACAAGCCAAAGGGATTCAACAAGCCTTAATAATGTGCATAAAAGTGGGCTGTATCCATTTTTATGCATTGTGCTATGTTAGCTTCATCAATTTCGTAGCCAATCTGCATTCTGTGATGGTGATTGAGCAATTGATCTTTTGCAATTAGGAAAATAGGGGTTGCTCTAGACCCATCTAACCTTTGGGGTTGCATTCTTGGAAGGATGATGTACTACTCTACTTGTTGCCCTTTTTTCGATATGCAGGGCAGATGAAGAGGTTGTTGACCAGAAGAAGTACCTTGAGGAATCTTGCAAGCCCAAATGTGTGAAGCCTCTACTTGAATATCAGGTGAATAGCTCAGCGATTGCAATTCTAATGAGTAACCTCCCCCCCTAAATACCATTTTGTGTGAAACTTCAATTCCTTTGAAATCTATCCCAATGCTTCCTTTGCTCGGGGTTCAAACTAGAACGAAATGTTGAATGTTTTCTTCGTTTCGGGTTCAGGCTTGCGTGAAGAGGATACAAGGCGACGAAACTGGCCACAAACATTGCACTGGACAGTACTTTGATTACTGGCATTGCATTGACAAATGTGTAAGTAATTATTTGAAGTGGTTGCGGTTTCAAAACTTTAGTTTGAAGAAAGTGTTGATTGAAGGGCTGACTTGGTTGATATGAATGTTTGTTTACATGTAAAAGATTAATACCGGTGTCTTTTTCTTTGATCCTGCAGGTTGCACCCAAGCTGTTTCCAAAGCTGAAATGAGTGGCTTGCGTTTGTCTCCGTTTCCAAAGGTTTATATTTTTATAAACGCAAACCAAAATGTGAGGGTTGGTTGCTTGGTTTTGATCAATTATATTTTTGGTACCGTTGGTGGTTTCACTCTGTTATGTAATAAAAAAAGAGATACGGCCTGAACCAAATTATCAAACAGAACGCTTAGCAAACGTGTTTTTGGAATGAGTGGGCCACTAGGGAATTCTGAGGTACTTAGCGTGCCATTGCTGTTTGTATATATGCATGCAGGGATGGACGGAGAAAAATAGGGGTGTACAAAAGCTTCGATTATTTGAAAACCAAACCTAATTCGACTGATTTATACCTGAATTGAATAATCGAACTGATTAAAAATAACTAAATTGATTGTATACGATTAAATCTTGTTTGTATAATCGATTATTTATCCATGTATCATTCGTTAATCAACAACATCAACATCGTCTTAATCCTAAATTCATTTGGGGTCGGTTGTGTGAATTCTTTCTTTCCACTCGTTTCAGTTTTGGGTTAGCTCTTTCGGAATTTGTAACAATACTAAATCATTTCTAATGATAAGTTTCCAAGTAAGATTTGGTGTACCATTTCTTTTTCTTTTCACCTCCATTCCTATACTCTCAATTTTTCTAACGGACGCATTTATCGGTCTACGTTGTACATATCTAAAACATCTTAAACGTCTCTCTCGTAACTTTTCTCTTCTATATTTGTTACTCATATTTTCTCTTTAATAGTTTTGTTTTTAATTGTATCAATCCTAGTCTATCCGCAATCCATCTCAATATCTTAATCTCGATTACACTCATTTTAGATACATGTCTTTTCGCCGCTCAACATTCATTACCATACATCAATGCGGGGTCTTATGGCGGTACGGTAGAATTTCTCTTTGAACCGTATGGAAAACTTATGATCGCAAAAAACCTCTGTGGTTTGTCTCCATTTTATCTATCACGCTTTTATCTTGTGACTAACATCTTCGTCGTAATCCTCATACTTTTGAAGAATTGAACCAAGATATTTAAAATGCGCATTTTGAGGTACTGATCCTACTTACAAGTTAACTCCTGCCTCACTAGAGTGTTTTCCACTAAAATCGCAATGCAAATATTCGATCTTCGTTCTACTAAACCTAAATCCTTAGCCTCTATTGTATTCCTTCATAACTCTAATGGTTCATTTATACCTTCTCTAGACTCATCTGTTAGTACAATATCGTCCGCAAACATCATACACCACGGTACTTCTTTTTGTATATCTCTAGTCAATTCGTCCATGACTAACGCAAAGATGTACGAGTATAAAGCGGACCCTTGGTGTAACTCTATCGAGATAGGAAAATCTCGCGCATCACCCCTTTTGTTCGGATGTTAATGGTCACACCTTCACACATATCTTTCAGTATTTGTATGTATCTCACTGATACTCATTTACGCTCTAACACCCACCATAAAACCTCTCTTAGTACTCGATCATAAGCTTTTTCGAGATCAATAAATACCATACGCAAATCTTTGTTCATATCTTGAAACTTCTCCATCAACTTGCGAATGAGAAAGATTGCTTCCATGGTAGACCTTCCGGACATAAAACCAAATTGGTTTACGAAAATAGATATGTTGCTATGTAAACATCGCTCCATAATCTTTTTCCACAACTTCATGGTATAACTCATGAGTTTGATGCCTCTATAATTTGTGTAGCTTTGAATATCTCCCTTATTTTTAAAGATGGGGACTAAAATGTTTCGTCTCCATTCATTTGACATCTTCTTCGATAGTAGGATTTTTTTAAATAACCTAGTAAGCCAAATTACTCATACTTCTCCTAAACACCTCTATACTTCGATAGGTATACCATCGGTACCGCATGCTTTACCTATTTTCATCTTCCTTTGTGAATCTTTCACCTCTCCACATTAATCTTCCGAGTATAACTCACATTTCTTTCCATATTAATAATCTCTAGTTCTATATGGTCATCGAAGTAACTTCTTCATCTCTCCTTGAAGTCGTCATCTTTAACTAGAGTATTACTTTCCTTATCCTTAATACATGAATTATGCCCAAGTCTCTGGTCCTCCTTTCTCTCGCTCTAATTATCTTATATATATATATATATATATATAGTTTTCCCTTTTCTTTATCCAAATTCTTTCATACATCTTTTCAAAAGCCTTTGTTCTTGCTTGACTAACGGTTTTCTTCGTCTCCTTCTTAGCCAATTTATATTGTTCATATGCCTCGTTGTACTACATTTAGATAATTTTCTATACTATTCCTCTTGTTCCTTAATTTTTGTTGCACTTCTTCACTTCACCATCATTTCTCCTTTGTTTGGGGTTTATACCCTTTTGACTCCCGAAGTACCTCTCTAGCAATACTCTTAATGTTAGATGACATATCTAACCACATTTCATTGTCTTCCTTATCCTCTCTCCACGCATTCAATTTTAACATATCATTGTCGAATAACTCACACTTTTGACCTTTTAGATCCCACCACCTAATTCTTGGTATATCTTTCTTCCTTGGTCGGATAACCTTTTTCTTGATCTTGATATCTGGCGCTAGCAACCTATGCTAACTAGTTAGAGCTTCGCCCGGGATAACTTTAAAATCCTTACATAGAGTACGATTAGACTTTTTTGTAAGAAAAAAGTTGATTTGGCTACGGTTTTGCCCACTTCCAAAAGGTCACTAAGTGTGATTCCCTTTTTTGAAAGTGATTATTTGCCAACATGAGGTCATACGTCATAGCAAAATCTAGGATACTTTTACCATCTTCATTCATAATACCATAGCCAAAACCTCCATGTACCACTTCATATCTTTGTCGATCCTTTCCGACATGTCCATATAATCTCCACCGATAAAAATGGACTCTTCGGGCGGTACAATTTGCATAAGATTATTCATATCCTTCCAAAACTTCTTTTTACACTCGCTAACTAATCCTATTTGTGAGGCATAAGCACTAATCATATTGATAGCTTCTCTTTCTAGAACTAATTTCACTAGAATGATCCTATCACCTACTCTTTTTAGTGTGACCACCGACTCTTTCAAAGACCTATCTAAGATAATACTCACCTCATTTATATTCCCTTCTTGACCCGAATACCACAATCTAATGTTGGTTGTAATTGTTGGGGTTCCCTTCGGGTTCCTAGCATGCGATCTCATCGATCTAGGGTTTGGTTTCTAGGTTTCATGCAGCGGAAGGAAAGATCTAAACCTAGCCAAACGTCACACAAAAACCAATTGTGCAATAACACGAACAATCGTGTATATCGTCGTGGGATTCGAATACTTACCTCCTTCTTTCAAGATCTGGAAGTATCAATCGATCCAGGGCCTGTTTTAATCACCAAGAGTTGAAAGCACAACTCCTCTACACGTATCCACACCGGCGGGATGAATTCCAACGCTTTGGAACGTATCTGCTAGGATTCGTGAAGAGAAAAACCAATGTCCTTGACTTGGAATCGATATATCAATCACTAGAACTCAAAATCAAGCTTCTCTAAGCTCTCATCAGTGTCTTGGACGTATGAGGTTCTTATTTTAGGGTTTGTGGCGGCTCTCATATTAATTAGGATTGCCCAAAACCCTTAAAACGCGAAAACCGAAAACTGCCCGTAAGTCGGACCGTCCGTTCCAGGCCTGGAACGGACGTTCTGATTCTACGCAGAACGGACGGTCCGTTTTATAACGTAGAACGGACGTTCTTGACGCCTGGACCGTCCGTTCCAGACCTGGAACGGACGGTCTGGCATTTGCGGAACGGTTCGTCCGTTCCTCAGCGGAACGAACGTTCCTCAGCGGAACTCTTCCAGATCGCTTCGTCGCTCTTTTCTCGCGTTGTTCTCTTCACGTGTGATCCATCCCTAATGGTGTGTGACCCTGTAGGCCCATTCGCAGTGGCAGCAGCCTCGAGAACCATTCCCGATCTACAAGTCATGGTTAGCCTCTAGCAAGACGCCATGACCACCCACCTAGAATAGAGTTAGAGGTGATCTAACAAAGCCAGCATTAGTTCGAGTTCTGATCCTTTGTCTCACGATGTCGTATGTTGAACAAGGGCATGGTATGAGCCACCCTTCAAGTTCAACTGCTTTCTCGTCTTGGCAAATCGACTAAAAAAATAGATGTACATTCATCTATAGCGTGGCCACGCATTTTCACAGTCCGATTTCCACGAGGGGCCCAGCGACATCTCTCCTGCGTAGGAGGTGACAAGTCCCGTATTGCATGTCTACTATCTGCATATGATTCGTGAACGTATCTGAGCAACGCCGTTATGATCATCCGGTTAAAGACGACGTTTGACGCAGTCAAGACACGTCACTCCTCATATCAGATACTCTAGACATCTCAGGTCTGAGGATCCAAGAACGAACCGCTGTATGAGATTCAAGTCATGACTCGTGTCCATGTGACAATCTCATGCGGGTCATCCAGTAACTCGTTCCAAACGAGAACCCATGATTGTGATTTGCATCTAATGCATATGATCATAATCATCTATCACACATCATGCTGGTCTTAATTCATCATTGTTCCCACAATGATAACTGACCAGGGAATTTAGAATCATCTGCAATGATTCAAGGATATTTACCGTAATATAACAAATATGCTAATCATATAACGGGAAAAGTAATGGATTCATAAATCAATGAATCAATACAAAGTCAAAATGTCATATCACGGATCATCCTAGAGCATCACAACCAACACCCATAACCGCGCCGTCGTCCCCCACCGACACCGCCGCATCACCGCCGCCGCTCCTTCGCCGTCACCGAGGTAAGTTTCCAATTTTTGCAGAAAAAATTTCCAATTGTTTCGATTTTTAGGTGATTTTGGTTCGGATTTAAGGTTGTGGGCGAATTATTTTAGGGTTTAGAGTTAATTTTCGGGTATAGGGTTTAATTTAGGGTTTATTTCGGTATTAGGGTTTAATTTGGGGTTTATTTCAGGTTTAGGGTTTAGTTTGAGGTTTATTTAGGGTTTAGGGTTTGTTTAGGGTTATTTTAGGGTTTAGGGTTTATTTAGGTTTAGGGTGTAATTTGGGGTTTATTTAGGGTTTAGGGTTTAATTTGGGGTTTATTTAGGGTTTATGGTTTGTTTAGGATTATTTTAGGGTTTACGGTTTAATTTGGGGTTTATTTAGGGTTTAGGGTTTAGGGTTTAGGGT